GCACCTTTGGCAAATATATCTAGTGACTGTCATACATGAGTGTGAATTTTCTCACAGGTGAATGGTCATTAGTATCTAAAAGATCTTGAATAATTAGATGTCTGCATTTTACACGGGCTATCAAAAAATTAAGGGATAAATATTTGCTATACCAAATTCAATGGATATATCTAGAAGCAGTAATTTTTAAAGATATAAGAAAAAAATTTTTAAGAAATAAAAAGTAATGAAATCAAATTCTGACATTTTGTTCGGTATTTATCAGAATTAATGCATTTGTAGTTTTCTTACCTATAATCACAACCCTGACCTTCATTCCTTGAGAGATGGAAATTATAGCTATAAATTTCTTCAGGGTTTTTTCTTAAGATTTCTGTTGCCAGAGTCAACAAGTGCCTTTGTAAAGCCTAGGCACACAACATACCAATCAAATGCTAATACTGGCTCATCTTTAAACATAACCCTAAGAATCTCAAGTCCCTCTTCCAAGAACAGCATAGACATACAATGACCATGAGGTAGGGTGCACCTTATACCTATTACAGTAACTGAAACACTGTAAGCAATAAATAATAAAGAAGCTCATGTCACCAACTAAGTCAACCATATGTATGAAAGCCATTAATTTAACTTTCATCAGCACCTCATAACCTTAAAAAAAAAAAAAAAAAAAAAAAAAAAAAACTTAGGATCAGTGTATCATTCTTCACCGAATACATCCTTTTTTCTTAATTTCATACTTAATGAGACAATCTCAATTACTTCACAAAAATTAATGTTTGCATCCTAATTCCAATTGCCAATGCTTTTAAAGTAATTGGGAAAGTTTTAAAGAAATAATGAACAATACTAAATTAATACCAATTCAATGTATCTCTTTATATTGGTAAAATGTTCCTATATTAATTAACAGTTAAGTATTTCTTTTTTATTGTTGGTGTATTAAATTTTGTGGAAGGAAGGAAAAAAGACACCATAAATCAGGCAGTGATCTTCAGTGAGGCATAAGAGCACCAAAAAGAATCAGCTATTATAAATCATTAAAGTTACACCAACTTTAATTTAATGCATCAGTTAACTGGTAACAAATATTAGATGAAAAACAGCCAATGCAGGCTTTATTTACAGCTGAAAATAAAAGAAATGTCAGAAATGTTGTTACTAACAAATTTAATTTATGCAATATTTTTTAAAAGAATCTTTAAATAGAATAATATTTGAACTCAATTTGAAATGGGCAGGACGTATCACTTGCTAAGGACATTATTCTCCATATAAAAGTGTCAAGAGACCTCTACTTTCACCCATGAGGGAGTGATAGCGTCCAGAATTACTCTCCAAATGGAAATAACTAGAAAATTGGACAAACTATGTATCTGACATTTGACAATAGGCAGCTCAAAACTGATTTCTGAAAAAGGAGAACAAAACAGATGAGCCTTATAATTGCCTGAGATTTCTTTTGGGACTGCAGTATGTAGGAGGGGAAACCCAAATACAATCCAGTGCCATTGCTGAGTTGAAAAGACAGAGATCAGAATTCAAAAACACGAAGGCAGGGGCTGGCCTATTAGATCAGTTGGTTAGAGCACACCTTTGTAACACCAACGTCAAGGGTTCAGATCCCCATACTGGCCAGCTGCCAAAAAATAAAATAAGCCCATTGAATGTACAGTACCAAGAGTGAATCCCTATGTAAACTATGGACTTCAGTTGCTTATAATATGTTACTATTAATTCAATTATAATAAATGTACCACACTAATGAATGAGGTTAATAATAGGGCAAACTCTATGTAGGGGCTAGAGGGGGGTATATGGTGGCAGGGGGAGGCAACATAAATTTTGGAGAAAAGTTCCTGAAGTGAGAGAGCGATACAAAAATAAAAAATAAAATAAAATATATATATATGTTCCTGGAGATTCTAATGAAATCCAGTGTTATGATATTGGAGATGATCTTGATGAGATCTAAATTGAATTCATTTGGCATCCTTTTCCTAAATGAATACACGAACTCCTGACACTCAAATACTTTTGAAAGCAGTCCTTTTGTCTTTCTAATGATTCCCTCATTAGTTAAATAAGTTTGATAAATGCTAACAAGTAACTTTAAGAATTAAACTTTTATAGAACTCAAGTATGCCTGATTTCAAAGTCCTATGCTCTTAATCATAAATCCTAAAAAAGAAAGAAAAGAAAATAACAGTCTGAAATAGTAAACTAAAAGATTTATGAGAAAATCCCACTATGCAAGAGATAATGTTTATGGTATAATACATTTTTACCATAAATGTATTATAAATGTATTAAGATAATGTTTATGGTATAAAACATTTATACCATACAGGAATAACAGTATCTGTCTTACAGATAAGAAAACCACAGCATTAAAATGTGACATTGGGAAAGGGAGAAAATCATGCAGCTACCAAGTGTCAAACAGGAATTTCAACCTAGCAACCTAATTCCAAAGCCTAATTTCTGAAATGTCTGCTCTTTTTTTTTTTTAAATACGTTTTTGTATATCTCTCACTTCGGGGACTTTTGCAAGGAGGTCTTCCACAGCAAGTATCTTCCCATGTATAGATCAGACATCCAAAATAAAAGGATCTCCCATTAATGGACTAGAGTTAGAACAAGAGATAAAAAATCTTTGCCATCTGAAGGTTACTATTAACTGTGACTTTTAGAAGAGTCGGAGCTCTCTAAAGAGCTTTCCTGTTTTCTTATGCATAACATCAAAAAAGAGTTGATCTAGATGATCTACAAAGACTTGAGATATTTTAGTAGTGTGAGCTTAAAAATAAGAAATAAAAAGATTACTCTAAAATGTCCCCATATTTATCCATTGCCTATCCTGTGTTTGGTACTATACTGGGTGCCAAGGATATCATGTTGAGCAAGACCTGTGTCTTAGAATCTACCAGGAAATAGGCCGGCCCGGTGGCGCACTGCTACAGTGCGCCGCTTGGGAAGCGCAGCGGCGCTCCCGACGAGGGTTCGGATCCCACATACAGACCCGCCGCTCACTGGCTGGGCGAGGTGCGGGGGCAAATACTGAGGGTTGCGATCCCGTAGCCGGTCCCGGTCCGGTACGGGCGCAACACTGAGGGTTGCGATCC